GTGATATGACGCTGCCTTCGACCGCATATTAAGTTATTGCAGTTAAGTAATTACATTACTTGTACTCTCTTGGTATTGCTCATCAAATCTCTTCAAACCCATAGTTTGATGCTTGTACATTATTTTGTTTGACACAAATTTGAACTTGATGGCTTAAATCTAATTAGACTAAAAAATTAACTCTCATTATTATTAAATTATACACTTAAAGAAACCGGCAATAGTAATTATTGTAACTCGAAATCTATACATTGCTGTCTATACATTTGCAAGTGGTTACGTGATAAAATATTATTTCTTTGTTTTTTATGTCTCTCACATGCACATGTGTCAAATAGGCTTATTATTAGATCGCAATATTTACAATATTTCGAATTAATATAATTAAAGAATTAAGTTTAAAAATAGGGTTCCCTGCAAATGAAAACAGTTCAACATTAATTTTGGACAGACGTTGTTATTAATACACACTAACGCTAATTCACTAACATAGATATCCGTCTGGTTCTCCAGATGTACGAACCAACTTTATCTATATTTGAAAATGACAATTAATATGTGACAGAGTGGGAAATTAATGTGAGCCCGTGTAATTATTATTCGTAGAAACTATCTTCTAATGATGAACTTGCTTATTTTCTTTGCATTTTACAAAATTTTTAGTTTTAAAACAATCTTGCTAAATACGATCGAATCAGAAGCAAATGTATAAATTTTTACGAATTTGTGAATTGTGAAAAGTGATAAGTCTCTTTAGGTATTTATTTTTATAACACTACCTATGGTTAAAGTCAACATTGAAATATAAATAGGAATGAATTTTATAATATTTAAGTCAGACCGATAACCTCCATTACATTTCTCAGACGATATGATTTAAATATTTAGTTACATCTACTACAAAGGAGACGGTCCATTTCAGGCCAAGTACACTATACCGTAAAAAAGCCAAAAAATCAGGGCTTTTATTAAAAATAAAATAAAAGAATAAATCAAACTAAATAACTTGCTAAACATAAAAATGTAATCCCAAGTTTTTGATGGTTTCACAAGATACGAGACAGAAGAATCGCACTTCTAGTCATAAAAAGACGCAAAAAAAATACGAGCCATGAAATAATGTAGGTAGCGTTATGATTTTTTTTCGAGCTTGGTCTTATAGTTGTGAACTCGTGAATGCGTTTGTTGTGCTTCTGGTGTATTTCTTTGGCGATTTGGTTTTAGTTCAGTGCTAAAGATTAGACAGAAGAAAGAATTCAAATAGTCATCAATAAATGGATCAATAACCTCATGACATTTGACCAGCCAACGTCTAAACGACATCTATTCGCCATTACTGTTGCATTTTTTAGTTACAATAAAATATTAATACCACTGTAATAAAGGCCAATTTGTGAATTTAAATGATCAAAAGTAATTTTATATTTTATTTAAATTTATTTCCCTACTAGTACAAAACTCGGCCTACGCTTCATACAATTTTGGACCATCTCCTTTGTAAAATTCAACGTCAACATGAAAAAGAAATATAAGATATTATACATGCAGCTTAGAATACTTATGCAATAAATATGGATTTTAGTAATAATTTAATAGTAATCCAAATTAAAGAGTAGCATCAGATATCTACAATTGATTGAATTATTCAAGCTTCATTGCAATTCTAAAAATACTGTCGTCAAAACATCTAAAGTTGTTTACAAAATAGACTACCATTCTATGACAACATTGTACAAAAGTACACTACTCATGTTGTTAACTTAATAAAACATTGAAGACAGAAATACATCATTACTTTACACAAAAAGTATGCACCAATAACTAAGACATTGATAGAGTATCACAATTTAATCGTATTGCTTACTATATAAGTTGAGGTATTTTTATTTAACCTTCTACGAATCTTCAAATGGTGGTGTTGTGCTGTTGAACAATCAGCATCGAAATACTAGATTTATTATTACTACATTACTAATCGATTGTGAAATAACAGAAGTTAGAAGTTAATTTTATCCATTTTAAAGTCGAGAGAGGAAACTTAACTTACTTGGATGTATTTTAAATGTTTTATATTTAAAACTAGCTGGTACTAGGCGCGTTGCATGCAGCGCGCTACGATACGCGCGTCACCTACTATAAGTTAATTGTCTTATGCCTATAACCTTCGCGCATGTACCAGTAATATGTTGACAAAGTTTTACCGAAATCTGACGCACGGTATGGCAGCGCATAAAATACGAACAAACGAATAAATTAATTTGTATATATCTATTCTATTAGATATTATAACTTTCTTACACCTCTTCAACATAAGGAAATATGTTGAAATTATAATACAGATATATTCACAAAATTATTATTATATATTAACATAATTAATAAATAAATAAATATGCTAACTGATTGCTCCTACAGCAAATATCCGAGCCACCAAACATGACGTTACGGTTATTTCATTGCACGTCCACACAATTGTTTACAGTATGTATAAAATCAGTCTATTTTTAGTACCACAGTCTATTTAATATAGCATGAGCTCTGTGACAAGGTTTGGCAGGTTATTTGTTTCTTTATATTCAAGTTTGAATTACTAACTGCTTATTATACAAAGAAAATGCACAGAAGGTGGCCCCACCAAACGTTACTCAACTCATCCTGTACTAAATAGCAATAACGCTACAGCAAATATCAAGCGAAATATGTACATGGATATTGATTGATAAATTTTATAATAGCCTTCATAAATCATGTAAATGTACGATTATTCTACACTGCTATAGATATATGGTCAGACTATAATTCAATGGTGGTTAGATCAACATATCGTCAATATTCTGTACAATTTACTATGTTCATGTTACTTTAAGATGTGGTTATTATATCAAAAAACTTATTGCACATACAATTCCAAAAGAAAGCTTTGTTAATATAACCAAATAAATGTCAATTTTATATAACATAATATTTTATATTTTTAATTGAACATTTGCAATAAAATAGATAAAATTAAAATGGTTATCGTGTATGTCGTATGTATACCAATAAAGAAAGCTGTATACATTTCAAGTAAAGCTGAAATAAATGACGCACTCATGCACACAACTTTCTCCTTGCTTTCTTTATCAGCCCGTGAAAGTTCACATATGCATATGCTTCTAGACGCATATGTGTGCCTACGTAAGTGCGCGTTCTTACAATAAGTTGAGCATGCTAGATTGGTTTTTACATTGGTTGGTCTGAGATTTAATATTAACTTCCATATTTACAGAAAAAAATTACAGTCCAAAGTCAATGAGTATAAATATTTTAACTTTTCAAGCGCAATTGCACTTAAAATCACTACTAAGAAAATAAGCACTAAATACTCCAGCGCAAAATTCTAATAATAATAAAATAAATAATCTTGTACACCTATTCTTATAAAAAGTTACACAAACGTATTAAATATACATGATTATCAAAAACATTATGCAAATAATCACAAGCATATAATTTCATCATTATATACATATTTCAAAAGAAGAAGAAGGCCGATTAATCTAGAAAATAGGAAAAATAGCTGTACAATATCGGAATATTTTAACACAGCACATCACATGTATGCAGCACCCTATGACAATACTATTATCATTTATCAGCTACAAATCTATACAAATAAATAAAATTGAATTGTCTGTTTATAATGTGAAAAATAACAGCATGAAGGTATATACGGCAATTACAATCAAAGATTTAAATAGTTAGATGTGCCTTCACCTTCAAAACTGTGGCATTATTTTTGGATGTGTTCGTTTGCAAGACGCTGACGCGCGCACACTAATGCAATAGTGGCATCTCTTATTATCTTACAGAAATTGTGTATAATACTTTCCCTGTCGCACAAATTAGCGCTGATTGCGAATGAGTGAGCTCACTCAATTGAGAATGGACACATTTCGGAGTGGTCATACCTATGGTAAGGGCACATCTAACTATTTAAATCTATGATTACAATAAAAGAAAACAATTTTAAAAATTCTCGTCTGTATGTTTGTTCCAATTTATTTATCTCCGAAACAGCTGGACCAATTTTGACGGGACTTTCGCTGACAGATATCTGAGGGTATTAGGAATAACTTAGGCTTCTTTTATTTTAGAAAAAAAATAGGGTGCCGCGCAAAAATTTAAAACCTATGAATTTCATGCGAGCGAAGTCGCGGAGAACAACTAGTAATTAATACTTAAGACCACTCTTCTTATTCATAAACAAACACATGATGGGAATATGTTATAGTTGTTGTTAAACTGTCCACAATACTTAAACTTTTTTAATTGAAAAAAAAATGTATAATCAATCATATATTACTGCCTCATCACCATATATTAAGCCTATGATTGTGTATCAAATAATATTCAATGGTAAGACTGTGAGATATAACATATTAATAAAATAAGAATATCAAAGTGCCTTAATAAATAAGTGATTTCAATGATAAAAATACCTTTTTTCATACAGTCAATATAAAAAGAGGCGTGCATGTGCAATAAATTAAGTGTATTCTAGTGCGACACTTTGAAAACTAAGGCAATTTCAATACGAAATTATACGATATTTTTTTTCAGTAAACACCGCACTTTCCTTTCATAAGACTAGTTTAACGAAGCAATAGATATGGTAAAGGCGAAATTAAAATAAAATATAATGGTGTAACAAACCAAAACGACAAAGTTTACATCTCGATGTACCCACAATGGCACAGCTACTGGAAACAAATACTAAATAAAGTGACAACGATAGCTGCGATTATATCACAGAAAAATAGTTTCTTTTTATACAAAAATAAAAATGTTCTACGTTGTGTACCTATAATATTCACAATAATATTAATCAATAAACGGAATTATAAACCTTATTAAAATTTAAACCTACGTAGTTGGTAACAAAAAATATCACTACATCACGAACTGTCCTTACATGTAAATAAAATAAATGCTCCACATTGATATTACTTGAATATAATCTAAGAGGTAGGATCAGGAGAAGCTCGAGATAGCGAGCGAGGCGGCTCACAAAACAATCCCAGATTTTCTTCGAACCGATCTTCACAGTTCCTTGGTTTGTACCCCAATCCTGTAGAAAGCAAGCAAATTTCGGTAAGCTAATTAAATGTCTGTTCTCTATGGTTTCAATACTTTTTTGTAATACACACAACAAACATGATAATTTTTTTTAATGAATAACAGTGACAAACGAGCACACAGTCCACCTGATGGTAAGTGGATGTTGTGACCCATAGATATCTAAATCTATCCTGAATAAAAAATGAAAATGCAGATGTATTGTCGACCCCTGAGGACTAAGATAGAATACCTCGATGCCAGTAAAAGGGGTATCCGGTTCTGTACACTCACTATACGAAACACATCAACAATAAGCTCCTTTTTTTTATCCAATATTCTGTGAGAGTGGCCCTTTCCGGGACGTGCTGACCCATTCATGCTTTTACTTTACAACTAATATAGCTGCAGCATGAGTCTATCACGTAAAACATATATATGACGTCAAAAGCGGAAATAATAAACAAGTTTAGACCTTTCGGTAACTAAAAAATGGAGGACTCATTCATTCTACAAATATTAAGAGAAAATAAGATTTGCAACAAATATCCACAACTTATTTAATAATATAAAATCATCATTAACATTATCATCATTACGGCCCTTCACAAGTCCACATTTTTGCGTGGTGGCGAGGAAACGGAGGGTGTCCGTACCCGAAGTCAACGCCAGCAGGAGACGGACCAAAGAAGATTTGGTGGTGCAACGCCGCAGACGTCGGTGGGCCAGCCGCCGGCTGCAGGCCCGTCAGTAGCTCCTACATCTGATTTAGGTGCTCTGATGGTGATGCTGCAGGAACAGGCTCGCCGACAGGAGGAACAGGTCCGTCAGTTGAAAGAGCAGCAGCAGAGTGGACAGGAGGAACAGATCCGACAGTTGAAAGAGCAGCTGCAGAGCGGACAAGAGGAACATGCCCGCCGACAGGAGGAACAGATGCTCCTCATGAAGGACCTTCACGCTACCTTTGGGAAAGAGATAAGGGAAGTGAAGGATAGGGTTGCTCAACATGAAAACCGCCTGTCGGAAGCTGAAACCCGAATCGAAGAACATGAAACCCGAATCAACCATGTGAACAATCGGGTTGACAACGTGATGGCTGACGTAAAGAAAACGCTGAACGACCTCAAACTTGGGGATGGAACTACAGCTCCCGTAGTAGCTACAGCACCTTCGCTACGTGGATTCAAAGTGCCGCCGTTCGACGGGACTTCTTCCTGGTCGGCCTACAAAATCCAGTTCGAGGCCGTCATGGAGGCAAACGGCTGGAATAAAAGCCAGGCCATGACTGCACTCACCTTAGGCCTGCGCGACCAAGCCTTAACCGTGTTGGAAGCTCTCGGTAAGAAAGTGACCTACGAGCAGCTCCTTGAGGCATTGGAGGCGAGATATGGTGAACACGTCTTTCGCGCGCAGCTTAAAGATCGCGTGCAACGCAGCAACGAAAACCTGCAGCAGTGGGCCCTTGAGGTGGAGAAGATGGTTCGAAAAGCATACCAGTCTGTACCTGCGCTCATTGAAGGGAACCTGGTGCAGACATTCATCGACGAGACGCTTAAGGACGCCTTGGCCCATGCACTGGAGGTGGAAGCCGTGCGGCAGGATCTTCGCTCCCATCGCGTCAGGGAGATTGCAGCAGCTACGGTACGCGACCGCAATAAAGGATACAGCCCTAGGTGCTATGGCTGTGGGGAAAGGGGCCATCTTCGATCCAGCTGCCCTAAGCGAACCGTAGAAAGGGAAGTTGATCGATCTCGAGAGAGTAGTGCAGCTAACGGCACCGCCTGGCGGCGTCAAGATCATCGTTCCCCTCACGTTAGGGAGGTTGCAGCAGTTACGGTTCGCGACCACAATAAAGGATACAGCCCTAGGTGCTATGGCTGTGGGGAAAAGGGCCATCTTCGATCCAGCTGCCCTAAGCGAACCCTAGAAAGGGAAGGTGAACGATCTCAGAAGGGAAGTGCGGTTACATCACCACCCAGCAGCAGCCGGGATACGACTTTACTATCAGACATCGCAGCGGGAAATCTCATGGCAACGCAGATGCATTGCCAAGAAGACCTTGTCCTGAAGATTGGAAACATTGTACTAGACAAAGAGAGTAAGGAAGTGGTATCCGTGAGGATGCTCAGGACAGACCACCTTAGCAACGAGTGGAAGGAGAGCCTACGACATGCACAGCAGGAAGATCCGGACATCAAGCCGATTCTGCAATGGATGAAGGCCAGTGCTCCCAAGCCCAAGTGGAGTAACATCTCAGCGATGAGTCCGACCACTAAAAGCTATTGGGCCCAATGGGACAGCTTGTTGCTTCAGGATGGAGTTCTCTGCCGTAAATGGGAAAGTGTTCGGGGAGACAGCTGTCATTTGCAAATGGTTGTCCCTAAAGCTAAAGTACCGGATGTTCCACAGCTGTACCATAATGATTATTCAGGAGGCCATCTGGGAGTTAAACGAACTCTACTGAAGATCCGAGAACGGTTTTATTGGGTCCACTGTCGAAACGATGTCGAGGAATGGTGTCGCAAATGTACAAATTGTGCGGCTGTAAAGGGACCTCAGACTCGTAGTAGAGGTGCATTGAAGTTGTACAATGTTGGTGCACCATGGGAGAGAATAGCCATTGACGTGGCGGGGCCGTTTCCGGAGAGTGAAAGCGGTAACAAGTATTTCATGGTTGTGATGGATTACTTCACTAAGTGGCCAGAAGTCTTCGCCATTCCTAATCAAGAAGCTTCAACAGTTGCAGATAAACTAGTTCATGAAGTCTTCTGTCGTCTTGGAGTACCTTTAGAGATTCACAGCGATCAAGGAAGGAATTTTGAGTGTCAAATATTCCAGGAAACTTGCCGAGTTATGGGTACTCATAAAACAAGAACGACTTCTTATCACCCGCAATCTGATGGAATGGTAAAACGATTTAATCAGACATTGGAGAAGTACCTAGCAAAAGTTGTAGACAACCGGCAACGAGATTGGGATAAGCACAAACAACCGTGTTTGCTGTCATATCGAAGCGCTGTTCACGAAAGTACATCAGTGACACCAGCTTTCGCAAACTTTGGAAGAGAATTACGGCTGCCTGCAGACCTGATCACCGGGATACCACCTGATGCCCCACGCAGCATAACCGATTATGCAAATGACTTGCGGAACAAAATGAATGACATTTATGAGCACGTCAGACAATCGGACCAGCAAATTTCCGGAAAAGATGAAAACCCGATATGACCGCAAAATGAACAACAAAGGGTTCGACGAAGGTTCACTAGTGTGGTTGCACAATCCGGTCCGCAGCAAAGGGAAATCTCCTAAGCTTCAAGCTAAATGGGACGGCCCGTACCGGATTGTGACTAGGATCGACGATGTAACCTATCGAATACAGAAGGGCGCAAGGGAGTCCCCCTTGCGCCCTAAGGTCGTCCATGTGGATCGCCTGGCGCGTTATTATGGGGCCGATAATTCTCGGGACGAGCATGTCTTAGGAGGTTGTTACGCGGCTAAGTTGACATCTGGCACTAGCGTCATCTAGTGTCGGGTGACGGAGCGAGGGGAGAGCTTTCCAGAAAATGACATCACTAATCTTTCAACCGACAGCGCCATCTGTTGTCGAAACGAAGAACTAAGCTTCTGGAAGCTGACTCTCGAATTTTCGGCGCTTTGTCGATTGGTGCGCGTATTTACTTGAATGTTCTGGATGATTCGGTACTAATATGTATTTATAGGCGCTGCAAGGTGTGATCGGGGAAGTATTGAATTTGGCGAGACAAGCGAAGCTTCGGAGCGGAATAAAGTGAATTAGTGTGCTTAATTATTGGTGTTTTAAGTTTTAATTTGTGTAAAGAAAATTAAAGTGTTAATTTAGGTAATTATATCGGCTATTTTTATTGTCACGAACTTCAAGCTCGTAATAATACACTTAAAACAAAATTCATAAAAAAGGAACACCATTTTTTTAGTAGCGTACCTCTGATATAATAAATACTATACTAACGCAATGAATCTATGTCACGGAACCGCAAATAGTAAAATAATAACATCGAAACCGCAGTGCCCACAAACGTTTCTATCGTAAATTAAATACATATCAGTTAAAGTGCTCACCATCATTAGATGCATTTACAGCTTGATGTAATCCGCCGTGCCGATATTTGCGAGTGTTTTCTTGATACGCAGTGCTGTTAGTCGAGCCGCAGGGTTTTGATACCAGCATTCCTTCATCACCTTCGATATTGCCGCAAGAACCTACCAAATAAATTTCGTTTATATCTAATATGTAATATAAATTACAAAGTTACATTGTTGAATTGTTGTCAATAGGCGAGTGTACGATAAATATTGCTTGGTTTGGTAGTAGATATGTTTCCTGGCTATTAAGTAGAAGTTAATAGTTTTCAAATCTCACAAATCAATCGAGTGTCAGTCGGCTGCGAGAAAGGTGACACCTTGTGCCATTACAGACGGTCAATTCTTGTATCTATAGCATTCGCTCCATCGAGAGTATGCATACTTACTGGATCGGAATGCCATCTGTTAGGGACGTTCGGCCTCCGCTTCTCATTGCACACGACACGGCGCATATCTTCGAGTGCCGGGTCAGGAGGGACGCAATCGTAGTACGGTGGCTGATAGTCGTCGGGCATCGCGCCACACCGACGAGCCATCTCCCACAGCACCAGGCCGAAAGAGTAAACATCCGAGCGCTTGTAAGGATCGAACTGTCGCGAGTCCATGCTCTCGTCCAAAACCTGGTCGTAAAGTAGAAAATAACTACATAAGACTTTGTTTTCCTTCACCGCCGAGCGCGAAATATTAGTGCCAGCACAGATCAAAGCGGCGTAGTTATTACAGGTTATTTACTGTATTTTAAATGATAATATGACGAAAAACAATGATAGCAACAAAAAAAAATGTTGTGTAAGAAATAGTATTTTACACATTATTCCTATATCCTGCCGAGCAATGTCTGGATCAGTACACTGGTTTTATGGCATTTTCTATAGCTGTACTTGAGTTCTTCACAAATTCTTTCTCTCCGCAACTCTCCTTCTGCTCATATCAATGCTCAAATCTACTCATGCCTGGCATCTATGGGTAGGCAGATAGTTATGTAGAGATATCAACCCAGTGATCAAACTAGTCGGGATCAATCCCACTCCGAAAGAGAGGCTTTGATTGAGTGTGTTGATAAAGTGTGCGATGTCAATGTTATGAAATTCAGCGCCTTCTAAAACAAGTGGACCCAACTTACTTTTGTTCTATCTTTTCGAGATGAATCATTGGAATACATCGAACACATTCTATTGTGGCGGATTGAGATTTCTTCGAACCTAATCTCAGGGCGAGTTATTAAACCTTGGGCTATAGCAGCTGCAAGGAAGTCGTGTCCTTGCAAATGTGAGCCGGTACTTTACGTTGAAACAGCTGCTCACTCTATATAAAGCACAAATAATGCAAAATGATGAAGTATTGCTGGTATATCGGCTGGTGCAACTAAATGCCACCAAGCAGCTTTGGACTTTATAGAAAGTCGTACAAAAGGTTAAGGCTAATTTACACGGGGTCAGTAACTGCCCGCAAATTCCAGGCAAGTCGGTGCTGACCCGATACTGATATAAGGTAAAGTGATTAAGAGTCAGTACAGCTCTGTCGCGTCAGTGTTGACTCCAATATTCCTGCTTGATTATTTTGAAATCAGTCCACACCCCCCGCCACCCGCGCCAGCGGTATTGACCTTGTCTAAACGACAGAATAAATAATAGTACTACGTACAGAAATTGCAGTCCTTTGATGTTGACTGCTTGCCGGCATTTAATAACCTACGTAATTATTATTAATTAGATAAATCGCGCACGCAAGCTAAATAAAACTTTATCGCTGCGCGCGAGTAAGTAGTATCACTTTGCTTCTTTTCCCCTTCCTACGTCACGTCGGACTTTCCGTGGTTACTAAGGACTGTCAATAAAGAATAAAAAATACATTGCGAAATTTTAATTAAGTTACTTAGGTGTAGTACCTATTCTGACTATGATCAATTGACCATATTTTCGCACCTATGTGAGTTCTGCGATATCCAACGCATGCATCATGCAGGGCCATTCGTCGAGAATCGCGATGCTTGGCTCGGAAGAAATAGGTAGATAGTGTAAACAAAAAATAAACCGGAAATATGATTCGTAACAGAAATGTGATCGTATTCTACATAGTTAAAAATATTGTTATATTTTATTTTGAATATTCTTTTACAAAAGACAAGTTGTTTGGCTCGAAAGAGGAATCGGAGGAAAAGGATTGGAATCATTTTTTTACATCAGATTACAATATGGGTGTCTTTTAAGCAAGTATTACCGCCATGTGGGATAGTGATCAACACCATTACATTTTTTACAGCAATTTTGTAGAAAACAATTGGCACTTTAATTTACTTCATAACTTACCTCAGGTGCCATGTAACGCTTCGTGCCAACCCTGTTTGTTGATGGGACGTCGACGGAATCGCTCGCGACGTTATGCCTCACGGCCAGCCCCAAGTCTCCGATAACGCAAGTCAGATTGGTCTTTACCAAGATGTTCTTGGACTTTAGATCTCTATGCGCAATGGCTGGTTTACCTACCAAAGATTTCATTCTTAGTAGTGCAGAAAGAAATTGCTTAGTAAAAATATTCTATAATAAATTAGATATATTATAATATATATAGTGATATTTCTGTGTAGATCGCACCAAAATTAATATTTGAAAAGATTTCCTTCTGATTCTAATTAACCCGAGGTGGGTTACAGATGTTGACATTCTCTCACGTGATCATGTGTGCTTGTAGCGTTCTAAAATGTAGGGAACCAAAAAAATAAAATTAAACGCGACGATACACGTAAAATTCAATGTGCACTATTCCCATAAATATAAGGAATCATTCGCGAAAATATTTTGGATATTTTCATCACATAATTAAATTCACTTTTGATCACCTTTAGTGCCAACAATGTCCATATGCAAATGAGCCAATCCCGTAGCAATTGAAAGCGCCATTTTGACGAGGGTATTGGAGTCGATAGTCCTCGCGGTTAGGAAGTCGAAAAGCGAACCGTTTTCATGATAATCCGTTATAAGCCACAACTGTGTCCAAGTTCCGTTATCTGAAAAAGCAAAAAGTAATAATTATTAGTCCTTATAAGTTACTATAAGGTTAAACTTTATTTAAGAAGAAGCGGAATCAGATCATGTTCTTGATTACACCGAATAGCGAATCCATCGTTTGAATAGTACGTATAAACATAATTCCTTTGCTATGTAGAGGCGAACCTCGACTTTTGCAAACGCTTTTATTTCATGCACATAACAGAATAATCGAACGCGCGCCGAAAACTGATAGCAAGGTGTGCCCCTCAAACAGAGACTTAGAGAATCATTTTAGCCTTCTGTCGCATATAACAGGAGGAGGGCAATTTTTCTGTGTATACAACACGTGTTTATAAAATTGTATTAGGTATATTGTACGAAAAGAGAAAGATATTTTGCCTTTTGTTTGTGATCTATGTGCGTTCAGTACAATGTTTGTGTTCAGCCTAGCTGAACGCTGTACGGTTAGACGGATTTTGAAGTATAGGGTTTTGTTAAAGAAATCTTCATCTCTGAACACAGGTCGTATAAGCAGAATTACATTTTATGTTAATAGGTAATAAAAAAATAAAAATATAAATTTCTTTGCAACTTTCCGCTAAACATATAAAATGATGTGTCTTACCTGGATTGAAGCGCACCTCCCGCCCTCCCTCAATTGCATACACTAACTCCGTCACCACTAGACCAAGCACCACTACTCTCAACACCACTATTCCAGGCAAGACACACCATCGACGATAATACGACACGTGTTTCGCCTCTACACGAGGCATCCTCAGGTAATATAGACTCTACGGCGGCTGACCGCTAAGATCTCTTAAAATGAAATTTATATTTTTATTTTTTATTATAATGGATTTCCGCAAAGTAACGCCTGATTCTATCAATAGGTAATATCTTAAGGGGAAATATAACCTCAAGTGGCTTAGCAAGATTCTCCGTTATACCGAAAATATTGCAGCATTAATTTTGAAATAAATATATAGTAAAGTTGAGGATTAAAGTTAAGTACTATGTTAGACGAAAAAATGATTCCGTAAAATTTTCTCGATAAAAAAATATCCAAAGTTACCTCCAAACTGAACAAACAATAAACCGCTGTTATTCATAAAATACTTTAAGTAAGATCATGAAACTTTCCATATACTAATTGAACTAACTATAAAGCAGGGCTTACGTTTTTTTTTTAATTTCCATTATTTTCACTGTAAAGAGAAATTACCTAAACTATCGGCGTCCTGAAGCTTGGAACCGGGCGGCAGGAAACAACTCTTTAAAGCCTGTTATTGATAGGAACCAATATCGCACACCTCGTAACGCGAAGCGTTATTTGGTAGTCCCATGGTAGTGCTTTACTTTGGACACGTCAAGGTTAACCAATTTTGTGTTCTTAAAATGCCTCTATCATAACCATATTGCACTCACACGATGAGTAGCCGTATATCAAGAAAATACAAAAAAAAATCCAAGTTATATTTTCTAAATAATCATTTTTGTTGCTATTGCAAATAAAACGATTTGAAAAAAAATTACGTGGACGTCCGGACGTTACGTGTGATCAGGTTTACTCTCGAAATAATTGACGTATCAAGACCGGGTTTTTGTTAGCTTTAAAATTACATCAACTTATTTACTATTTCGTATCACTAGCTTAGTACGCGTAGTTTGTCAGGCCGGGCACATACGTACGGAATTCCGTTTCGGGATTCCGTTTCGGAATTTCGATACGGGATTCCGAACGCAGCAAGTCCATCTAAAGTCCAAGAACATCTCAACATCTTGGTAAAGACCAACCTGACTTGCGTTATCGGAGACTTGGGGCTGGACGTGAGGCATAACGTCGCGAGCGATTCCGTCGACGTCAAACAGCCGGTGCCGCAGCCAAACGCTTAGCCACTGCGCTACGGAGTCGCTTTTTGTTTTTTACTTAACAAATTAATATTATAATTGTGCGTTGTTTAGTTTAGGGTCCTTTTACACATATTTTTGTACCTAATGATTGTAGAAAAATAATTACAAATTGCTGTATGTAAAATACATTAATTTCTTATCCTCATCGGCATTTTTACTCAAGCTCCACATAAAAACAACCTATGTTGTCAACACTGTTTTTCAAAAATTAAATGTCATGTCTTGATGTTTGTAAAGTAGCTTGGAGCACTTTCATGTGTTTAGATTTAGATTTACTAAGGAAGTGCCGCATCTTAAACGTAATGATTATATTCTCATTCAGCAAAATGTTAAGTGAATGCAACAATCTACACGAATGATTTCTTATATTTACGCGAACACTACACATTGAAATAATACTAGTTTTTACGGAATTTATCGCGTGTATTTAACTTTTTAATTACCCGACGTTTCGAACGCTTTACAGCACTCATGGTCACGGGCAGGACTGAGATGTTCAACGTCCATATGTCATAGTTAACCGCGGTTACCATAGATTAAAATTTAACTTTTGTTCCGATCTATGCAGTATGAACTTATGGTATCTTGAAGTCTTGCAGTTGTATGCTTGGGTTGGGATTTAATTTTATTTATTATAAGATCCCAAGCAAATGGTAGCACCCAGCCATCTTCTCTATTGAAATTAGGATGTTTTTTGATTTCAATAGCCTCGCGAATCATCCTTGGAAGGAATCGGTGTTCTTTAGCGAGGATCTGCGGTCTATCAAATCTGATGTAGTGACGGGGGCGATCCTGTACGTGTTCACAGACTGCAGACTTCCCGGAGCGTCGATTCTTCACATCAGCTATATGTTCTTTAACGCGGGTTTTTATTGATCTTTTAGTTTGTCCTATGTAGGAGAGACCACATTCACAATCAAGCTTGTACACTCCTGCATCTTGCAGAGGGACATTACACTTGACCGATGGTAAAAACTGACCAATCTTCTTCAGCGGCTTGAAGTATGTTTTGATGGAAGCGCGCTTCAAGATGTAGCGGGCCGTCGGGTAATTAATAAGTTAAATACACGCGATAAATTCCGTAAAAACTAGTATTATTTCAATCTACACGAACCTTCCTACCGGGAAACATGTCTTTTTTTATAATATTATAGTGACTAACGAGCTAAGAGTCGACCTGATTATACATACACTTTATCTTACAGCGTAGGACTAATTCAGGGTTAAGATTAAATACCGACTGTAATTACACCGATTTCTGGCCCGGAATGCAAAAACTATTACTGCGGCAGAAATATCTTAGTTTTGGTTTTGATTCGGACTACGCTAGTATTTTAGTCCAGTAGCGAATAATTTAGTAGCGAAAATTCTCGCTTCTGCTGAAAAATCGTTCCCATTTTGCTCGATTAGTTTACAAGGGTGTGGTATTTTGCAAGATGAGCAGCAGCCCACAACGCAACAACGTAAATAAACTGATTAATCTAATCGTAACGGTTATAATAGAAGCGGTGGATGAGGAAATTTGTGTGATTAATAAAAAGAAGCTATGCGTACGAAAAAGGATCGACAGAAGAGATAAACTAGGCGCTTCTAATTATCTTCCGAGGAATTAGCGTTGGAATATTCTAAAGAATACTTCGATAGTTTGAGAATGTCCGAAAGTTGTATAAATTTTCTGTTAATGAAAATACACTCTCAAATTCAGCGTAAAGACAAACTTTCTTGCTACTGGATGTATTTTAAGGACGCACATATATTTAGACTCGGAAAATCAACGATTTTTACGAATTCATCATCGAAGTTTGTGAAGCAAGCTATGAATCATTAATGAAATTTTCAAAGGTAAAATTAAATTACTATAATAGATTTAATATGAAAAATTTATTTATTTGTAGATATAATTTTTTTATAGAATCATCACAGTTTTAACATTATTAGACAGGTATTAGGTACTTTCATTATAAGTGTTTTGTTTGCTCCCATCACTAGATTATCAACATTAGCGTTCTGCATTGCTGTTAAAATTAAGTCATTTGTTATAATTGTAACGTTGTTGGGTCACATTTATCTCAAATATGGAAACATATTTGAGAAAAGCTGATTATCCGCAACATGTTCAGAATGATGTGTAGGTAAAATGGACAAGGAAATACAATCAGTTGCTTGCTCTTCCAAATTATAGTTACTGGTGTCATTTAATATATTGAAGAATCGCTATATGGTGATTCTGTAGCATACGACGGCTGTGGCGTCCTGGTGATTCTGTTTTGTTCATACGCGTTTTGATGGTGCTGATGTCGAATTCTATTTAAGTAAAGTAGGGAGGGCAAAGGTTTCAACATAAGACCGACGTGTTTACCGAAGACCTCAAACTCATTGTCTTGGACTGTAGAGTTAGTAGTATCAGCTATCTTTTTTAATTTGATAACCGTAATATTCCACAAGCATTCATGTTTTACATATTTGGAAACAGATTTTAAAGTTTTTTCGCTCCAGTGAAACGACATTTTTGCGGCAAACGGCAACTAATGAACTTGACTAATTCCACAAGTTTGGATTTGTTTAGCCAGTGAACCAGTGAGCACGGACGCGTGGTAGAAGGTGCTACTCGCCCGATAAAAATAGAATAAAATGTTTCGACCCGACTTAATTACTTACTAACCTATTCGACAAATTTTTGGTGTACAAACACGTTTAGCTACAAAATTACTCGCTACTCGACTAGAACACTAGCGTAGTCCGAACTAGGCTTACCACCTAGTAACTGCAATATATTTCTGACACAACTTTGACTGGAACATAGACAAGGGGAGATTACGACTGAATGTTGGTAATCGCAGACTAAATTAAACCTAGTGTTTTAAATGGAATAAACTATTATAAATAAAAATCAAATCTTTTAATGCAATCATAACATTACCCTTGTTATCCGCTGCAATGAATCCTAAAATGTTCTCGTGTCGCAACATAACGGTCTGGTATATTTCAGCCTCTCTAAACCAAGAGCATTCTTCTCTAGAGGAGAAGATTTTAACTGCCACGTTCTCCCCTCTCCATCGACCACGCCACACTTCACCGAATCGGCCTTTCCCAATAATATCAACCAACTGAATTTGTCTCGCGATCGACCGTTGAACCAGTAACGGTAAACCTGTGGAATTAAAATATGAAACAAATTATATTAAAAATTGTTAAATCATCAGAAGTTGGCAATATTTGTAAATGGAAAGCAAAAATTTTAAACAAAATAAACAAATTATGTATAATTGTTGTTGGGTTGAGAAGAACTCACCAGAGCCGGAGCCAGATGTGGTAAGCTCGATCATGTCCCGTATTGTTGCCGTGATAGGATGTCTCGTCTCACACAGTGAATCCTCAACTGGATACAACGGCCGGGAGCCCCTTTCTTTCATTCTGCCCGATCTCTTTGCCCACCAAAAGCTAAAGGCAGCACATACCCCTAGTACCATCAGTCCCATAATCCATGGCACCACTTGCCACGCTGTTGCTGGCGTACCCCCATCTTTGATTAATAATAATAAACGTAACAGTTCATATTGAGATGCCTTACAGCACAAATACAGCTACACCCTCCCCTCACACTCAAAATTAAGCATTGTTAAATAAATATATATTTAGAAATAAATAGTAAATCTACTCAGATTCATTATACCTTTCAATCTGGTTTTTATACATAGGATATATAAATACTTTGTAATACAGATTTCTAATACTTATGTAAACATGCAGCTAATAAACATACACAAAGCGAAAACGCAACCAATGTTAAATGTGAGTGTTTGATTGATTATAAGTTATGTAATGAACATATGGAAGTGTTGGACGCATCTTTCCCATGCATCAATATTGTATTTTCAATTTCGTAGGCATGTTTACGAGTTCCATAAAACTGTTCAATACATTGATTTAAGTTAGTACTTACCATAGTAATTTGTGAATATAAACTAGGTATATTACGTCTTGATTTATACTATAGAGATTATTTATTTCTACCTTTTTTACTGCATGTTGTAAATCCACACAATGACAATAAACAAAATCGTTATTTTATGAAAATGACTTGTGAAAAGTTGACATTATTAAAAAATGGTGTTTTTAAATTAATTATTAAATTCTATAAAACCTACACCCAGTGACAATTAGGAAACCATTACTTAATTAAATGAACTTATACATGTATACCATGTATACTAGATGACCTTTTTACCGTCTGGAAACATTTGGGTGTAACATGTGAACGGAGTAGAAGCATATAGCATTAATATTTTACAAAAAAATTAAAACAAAATTTTTGAATTAAATAAATAAATTAATTAAAATCTATCGAAATTCAAACCATATCCACCCTACTTTACGAACGGCAAAACAATAAATGTTGTAGGCATCTTTGACCTTGACACTTCGCAGGGTTTCAGGCTAGGGTGGATATGATTCGAATTTCGATAAATTTTAATTAATTTATTTATTTAATTCAAAATTATTGATTTCATTTTTTGTAGAGTAGGGCCGATTAATCGGTGAAGCCGATTAATCGGCCTATTTGTAGTCACCGATTAGTCGGCTAAAACGGTCGATTAATCGGCTTTTTATTTCATTAATTTCAGCAAAGGTTTTTCGTGATTTTCTGCGTGTTAACTGCGGCTACATTGATATGAGTAAATTTTTAAATTTAAGAAAAGTGTAGTTTCTCTCCCATGCGTAAACTGACGTCAGATTTATATGTAGGTAAATCAAATAAATAATAAAATAAGTAGGTTCATACATAACTTTTATTGAAAAATCAGTCTCACATGTTTTAATGTTAATTATTCTGGACATAGGAACTTCGGTAAAAAAAAGAATCTGAGGTAGCTATTTAAAACTAAACAAAAACCTAAGTACTTACTATTTCGATTTTACTTTTTAACTTTTTCTAATCGTAATGCAGAGAAGTGACACAACAAATTAAAATATTAATAATATTATTCTTACTAAACTTAAAAAAAAAACAAACAAATTTTAAGTCTCTCCCTTTGCATAACAAAAAGAACCTAATTCTTGAATAAAGTTTGTTAAACTACAAGCATATATATTTTTAAAAGACAAATAGAACATACTTGTTTCTGTACTTAAAACTAAATTGTTATTGTTTTTGTACTAAAAATTAAATCAAATTGTTATTTTTCTGTACTTTAAAATTATAATCAATTGCTTTATTTTTGCTGTAATGTTATTAAATAAATAATCTATAATCATCTAATAATTTGTTAAAAAGAAATACAATTTAAGTAAAATTTTTGAAGGCTTTTTTACGGAAAATATTTAATTTATTTGTTATATCATATATAAAATCTTAGCCTTTTCTGGTTGAAGGCGATTTCTTTTTGTTTCGTAGATTCTAAATATTCCCTGCCTCAGAAAAATGTCTCTCACTATACACAGAGCTGGCGGGGCAGCAAAGGAAAACTATGGCTAAACGGGACATCTCTGGATATCTGGAAGAATTCACCATTTGAATTTCTCATCGGATAGGGATCGGCTGGGCCGATTAATCGACCGATTAATCGGCCATTTCCTAACCGATTAATCGGCCATTTCCTAACCGATTAATCGGCTAATCGACCAAAGTACTAATCGGCCCAACTCTAATATTTTGTAAGATATCAGTGCTATAGGCTTCTACTCAGTTCACATGTTACAGCCTATTTTTTCCCAGACGGTAAAAAGGTCACCAGTATATAGCCTTGTCATTATTAAATAAAAAAGCGTGATTGAGGAAGTCAGTTAATGAGCGAGGTGCATTTAGTAGGTTTTTTAATAAGAAAAAGGCATGCTTAAAAGTAAGATACCGGCTTATGATCACTTACATATTATGTTACACCTTAAAATCATCGCATTGCAAATTACCTTATAGGCGCGAAGTCTACGATGTTGACAGTCCGTCAGTCCGTCTTTATGCCTTTCTCCAGTTTTGGTTTTTCATACTAGGGGTTACGTTTTGAACAACAATCAAGATTTTATAAATAACAATAATTTGAAATAAGTATACCTCACAATTCGTTAATTAGTACTTTTTTTATTTTTAATATTTACTAAATTAATCCGCGACGTAACGATTGTTTGAACTGAAGTAAGCAATTCATAATTTTACATTATTAAAATTGTAAGTTGATTTTTGAAATTATTAAATTTAATAAACTCGCGTGTAGCATAGAAACAAATCAATGCCATCCGTTATATTAAAAATCCCTTTTTTAACCATTCTCATGCGGTTTTAATCATCTAATTGCTTAATCGATAATGATGTTAAGTTCCCAGTGATATGGTATTGTAACATTATATCTTAAAAACATAGCAAAACTCGACATGATGCTTACGCGGACATCACAAAACAAAGCTACCCAAAGAGCCGACCTGACGGTGACACATTCCCAACGTGTTCCGTACCTGGAAAGATGTCAATATTACAGAGGTCCGTGTCGCAGCAATACATATCGACGCTTTCGGCTTCGCGACACCAAATAGGCCTGTCCCCAGGAGGGAATACCGTTTCTTGAGGCCAACATCTACATCACAAATCAGAGCATTAGGCAATCGAAATGACGGGTTGTATTGGTACGAAGGTGATCAATGCCGGTCTAAGAAGAGAAAATCTTAGTAATATTAGAAGAAAACAAAAATCAAATTAAATAGCCATGCAGTCTCGCGCCAAACACCAAGCTCTAGCAGAGCCGACGCCGGGCGGGGTGGTACTGGTATTATTGGGCTTCGGTGGCAGCAAGCTAGAGTGCAGGAGTTAGCGGCACATCGAGGGCACTACCTCCACGTCGCTCCTACCTGGCGGCTTCGGATGTAACTCCAGGCGCAGATCGTGATTGCACATGTCATGTGATTTACAACACTCTATCACCACCGACTCATTTCTAGTTCTCGTCGTGGAGCAACTGAAGGGGTGCTCGATGGGTATCAGTGATTTCAACTCGATACAGCTGCGCCGCAAGTGGAACCACCAGACATTACGTTTTAGTAGGTTAAAGCAAAACCAATGCACACTCGGGAAATAGTGTTTGTTAAAATTACGGCACATCATTCAAAACATACTAATTAATTATCTGACGACTCTTGAGTCGACTATATTTTTTCTCGCTTAGTAGGTACATATTCAAATCTAGATCAAAAGCGATATTGTTAGAATATTGGCATCTCAACACAAAACTCATGGGGAAGAAATGGCAATGCAATTATGTTCTAATAGTACATCAAACAAACTCAAAATTTGCATCGTCAGGTAGGTATCACACACCCACAAGTGCAGAACATCTTACCCATAGTTGAGGCATGTACCACTCTGTATAATATTTCTCGGGAAATCTCATCTGAATTGCAGTAATCTTTAAAACAGCAATAATATCTTGGCACCATGCATATGATTGGATTGCCTCCTATTTGGAAGGCTTTGCTCATGTTCATACAGCTTAAGGCCAGCTCTCTACACAGGTCAATGATTTGATAAAGTTGATTAAAAATGAAAAAAGAATGAAAATCATTCCATTATAAGTTGTATAAGCAGATTTGTGTTGAATATTTGCCAATTGTTTTATAGAAAGCTAGATATACTAGTATAATTTTAGTAGTCTACAAGAACCGAGTTAATAATAAAATAAAATATGTACCTCCCGAAGTATCTTTTGTAATATGCATTTTACAAGCCGTATAAAATGATAATTTTAATAAAGTTGTAAGTGCCAATAAGAGCTTTGCACGCAAAATACGCGCTTAGACGTGGAGTTGCGGAAAACAGCCCATCGTAAACTAAACTAAGAGCTTTGTAGAGGCACAGTAACAATAAAACAGTAATAATAAAATCTTCAAAGTAGTATCTTCAAGTAAATATATTAAAATTTTGATAAAATTTAGAAAACAAAGAGAAATCACACAGAGCCATACTCACTGGAATGAATATTTTTGTATTCCATTGTCTAAGGTGGTGGACGCATAGCAGAATCCATCAGTTTCGCAAGTCGAATTGGGACAGCTTGGACTATCGCTGTTGCAATAACACTTCAATCCTAAAAATATATAAGGGACTATTACAGTTGCATGTAAACAGACAACACTAAACCAGTTGTTTATAAAAAGATATTCAGATGCATATAGATGTAGGATGGAAGACAGATATAAGACATTTTTTATGTTTTTGATCTACAATATAATCCATCATTTGGGTTGGTATAGTTGAATTTATTTTTAATATTTAACTTGGCTGGCATTTTACATAATACAGTGGAATATTGATAACTTGAACTCCATGAAGCCGTAATGTTCTGTAAGATAAAAAAGTCGCCATTCCCATCCGGTTAAGTCCTAAATATGTAGTATCCATTGACATATGGTTTTAATTATGTCAATGATGGTATCATTGACATAATTAAATCAAGACGATACTTAGATGAAAAATCGCCATTCCCATCTGCTTAAGTCCTAAATATGTAGTATCCAGTGACCATTAATTATATCAATAGTGGTATCTCATATTACTTAGAATTTATAACTCGAACAAAACGTTTTTCACCTGTGAAGAATTGATAATATACATTTATACTCTATTACTCAAATTTAAAAAAGCATAGCAAAGCAAGTCGAAGTTGGTAAAATTCATATAATGATGTCTTACTTGAAATTCCCCTAAAAAGGAATGTTTGTTGCTTCTGTTCATCATGTGTACTTTTTACACATGCAATGAATGAACACATTAATTAAACTTTCTAAGTAACACATCTGTGTACCTTATGTTTGTTTATATTTGGTAAAAAATCTTGAAAATCTTAATAAGTCGAAAACTCATTAACTCGAAAAATTTAGTATTCCCCTTGAAATTTGAGTTATTGAGATTCCATTGTATATTCAACTTGGCTTTGTGTTTAATTTAGGATATATTCATAATTAATTTTAGATCAATTAGATGAAAATCATACAAGATGTATGATTTTGGTTAAACTATTGCTGTAAAGTTAAATGGAATTTTATAAAATTTACATAGACCACTCCAGAATGTTTTGTTAAACTAAAAGAAAAGTTCTATAGTTAAAGGTTATTAATAATATTTATTTTTAAAGGTTAAAGGTTTTATTATTGTTCTTTGAAAATCTGATTTCAGTTGATTTTTAGGCAATAAAAAGAAGTGAGTGTGACTTCTTATTATTCCCTAAAACATTGTGTTCAAGCTTGGTAGTATGGACTACATTCATGTCTTGCAAATTATTATGACACATGAGGAACATGTAACATACTGAAAAGTAACCATAATGCATGTTTGGTAAGCAATCCTTCATAAAGACTCGACAAACAATCTTGGGCAACGATCTGGAACAGAAACAAATGAAAGTAAAACAGGCCCTAAATAGATCCATGAACATGTATTAAAGAAATCTGTAATTTTTACAAAAAGCGAAGTCCAAGTATTAAAAACCATTATTTTCTTACATGGTAGTGGCAATCTGTATTATGGCTGGGAACACACTCACAGAATACCAGTGTAAAACAGCAGAATAATGCTTTGTTTCGTAAGATAAGTGTAGAGAACTGCAAACCTTTTTACTAGTAAGAAGGCATTTTATTTTAGTCTTCAAGGTTGACAGCACATCTCCATTTTTATTCTTAATTGAGGATAAATCTAGATGTCTATGAGCCACAATATTTGCTTATCATCAAGTGTACTGTGTGCTCACTTGTCATCCTTAATTCATAAAAAAGCATTAGGTACCGACGCTTTCAATGTTGACATAAATTGTAACATAATTGTGGTAATATTGTAAGCTGTTAGCAAGCAAACCAGGTGGCAATAACGTAGCATGACAAGACTCAAATGCCTTATCATTAATACCTATCAGCCTCACATATATACTGTTAAAAGCTTCTGAAAGGTTATGTGCAAGAGAGCCGAGAGAAAAAGCGACAACTAAGAAGACCTTGTATACTAATCATGCCTATACCACAGGCAAATCAATAGAATCAGCTTTACATCAAGGCATTGGACAAATTGATAATTTCAACAAAGAATGTTATAGAACATACATCTAATAAAACCAGCTTCAGCTAAAAAAAGCATTTAAGTAGCTCTTTGTGAACATGAAATTGAACCAACCATACTAGGCTGGATAATTAACATTCTTAGTAAAAGGGCAGTGCAAATGGCAAAATCTAAAATCCTTATTTATCAAATGTTGTCTTGCCTACACAGTAGTGTGCTCTTGCCACTTTTGTAGAAAATAGACTTTAATAATTTTTTTTAATTATAAAACTTAACAACAACCACTTCAGTAAGTATTCAATAAGCAAGTATGCTAACTTGTTAACTCACCCAAGTAGCACTTTGTTTAATCAAGTATGGATTATATTCTAAAACTAGACAGTTTCCTTTTGCCTTTTTTCAACAAAGGATCAATAACCGGATCAGGTACCAGGTATACAAATAAAAACGGCACTAAGAATGCATAATACCATTTACCTGGTGGCAGAATGTATAGAAATAATCCAAGGAGGGTCAGCAATTGCAGCAAGGCGGGTAAGAAATCACTTAATTTATATTTTCTGGCAGATTAGCGGTATTTCTCAAATAAAATATACACAGCAGCATTAAGTTGCTATTTTACACTAGTATTCACTAAGAGTGTGGTTCTTTCTGGTCAAGCCTTATATATGTGTATTATATTTGTGTAAGTGTGACAAGGACGTAAGACTAGTGTCACATTATCCTACTCTCTATACTCTCTGTCAAGTGTCAATTTGCATGATATACTAATTTTAATGCATTCCACCGTTAGTTGCTCATCTTGCGTGAATGTGTGCTCTCCAGTGTATTATTGTAGCTTTTATCGAGGACTGTTTTCTCTTTTTTTGGATACCAATTGCTTGTCTACACAACCACTGTCTACATGATCACTTATCTACTGTTCTACTAAAATTGAATCAGCACGCCCCGACTCCACATGGTCTTGTCTGCTTACTCCTAGTGTTTTTAAAAAACTGTAGGTGCAAAGGGAGAGCAGCCCCTGCCCACCGCAGGCAATAAATGTTATCATTTTGAGGTTAGGTCAATGGGATTTTATTTTAAATTTTTCTCAAGAACGGTGTATTAACCTTTAATGGGTGTGGTGTCGGGGGAAAGGGCATCCCCTGCCCCCCCCTCCTGCCAAACGATTCTAAATTTCAATCGTCAATGCCCACCAAACACAACAACTAATTCAAAGCACACTAAACATGTTCTTCCAGCAAGCTTTTTACATGTAGAGACAGGGTCGAGCATGTTTGTTGATAGCCATGCTCGGATGAAACATGCTCATTGAGCATGTAGCTGCATGATGACCCACCAATATCCTACAAATCTCACTGAATGGCACATATATCTATATATACATATAAGCGAAATACTACTGACTGACTCATCACAATATCTCTAAAACTATACACCCAATTGACATGAAATTTAGAATACTTACTCATTTCACAATGTAAATTCTCACTAAGAACGGATTTTAAGAGTCCCATAAAATAAATCTTGATATTTTATATCTATGTTATTATCATCTGTTATTGTGCGCTTAGCGAAGTGAACGGGTATCAGTTAGTTCTCTTATATTATAGAGGGTATAGGAGCCGAAATAAGCCTGCTGTGCTACCAATGCATGTAGCGGAAGTGAACATAATATACATATATTAAATATAAGATTAAAATTATAAAATAACATACATAATAATTATAATATTATATAATTTTATAATTGTTGGCCTAGTGCTATATAAATGTTCAATGAATATCTATGGTTAAATACAATTTCGTGATAAACCTAAGAATAAAATGTCACAAGATAAATAACACACATATACATAGATGTTAACAATAAACAAAGTAAATAATACAAAATTCGATTGTATTAATGCCAAAATTAAAAATATATAAAAAAATCGTCAAGTTAAGGTGTACATGTCAACAGTTATCAAGTCAACTCAAGATTATATGAAATATCACTTTGGTCTATAACAATGAAATTCATCTAGGGAATAAAAACAATTTTGAATAAGCCATTGCTTCAATGTTTTTTGAAAAAAGTTAAATGGCCATTTTTTGAATATCACTGGAGTTTTTGACAGTTTTACACTGTCATAAATTTAGTCTTGTTACATTTCTATGCGGAAATGTTTTATCTGTATAATTATCAATACATCTTTGAAACAAATGTGGATATTTCTTTACATACATTCCAATTTCATACACGTCCATGCAACACAGTGCGATAAGTTTTAACTGTTTAAATAGTGCTTTACAAGAATCAAAAGGTCCACATCCACTAATTGCCCGTACACATTTCTTTTGGATGAGGAATGCTTTATTAAAAACCGTTGAATTGCCCCAGATCAATAAATCATAGCATAGCACAGACGCTACATATCCATGATAAGGTGTTGTAGCAGCTTCTTTACTTGTTAAATTGGTTAGTCTTTTAAGTGCATAAACAAATTTATCTAATTTATCACACATGAAGCTTATATGACTTTTCCAACTACAGTGCTGGTCTAAAATAAGGCTGAGGAATTTTATTTCAGTAACCTTTTCAATTTGTTGATTATGACTCACAACTTTTATTTTAGGGATATTAGCCTGGTTAGTGCAGAATATAATATATTTAGTTTTGAGTAGGTTGGGATATAAATTATTACTAGAGATGGGACGGTGGGAGTGTGGATCCAGTACCTGGCGGATCAGGCACTTTTTCAGGATCCGGCCAGGTATCGGGTAATGGCGCCGGATACCCGGCACTGCCAGGTAATTAAGTCTAAGATAAAATTTAAAAAAGTTATTTCAAAAACGGACATTTATTTCAATTGAAATGAATCAGTAGAAGAATTAATAATAAAAAAATATTCGTAATTCAAAAGAGGTAAATTATGGTGAAGAAATACAAGCTGTTCCGGGTCAAATCTGTTGCGCTTTTTATCATAGATATGACCAACCTCCGAAAAGAGGCATTCACTATATACAGAGCTGGCGGGAGTGGTTAAATATCTAATCGCGAGACTTTTTATAATAGGGGATATAATAGGGGACCCATATTATCGGTCCACTACTTGTAGGGATTTATCTACGATCTCTTGCTGAGTTGAGATAGTGATCTAATTTGGCCACGGCTGAGTTTTTGGAGGAGTTTTGGTTAATTTCTGATTCTTGGGCTGCTTCTTCGTAACAGGCCCAAATCAAATTATGTGTTTCAGCATTCAATCTTGACCTCTTTCCTGCTGGTCCTGTCTCGTTGTCTGATTCCTCATTGTCCCTGTCCTTCCTAACTACCAAGCGTCCGCCGGCCGGCATGATCGCGCATGGTGCAGACTGCTTGACTTCATGACTTGACCGTCAGTCTCAGTCGCACACAAACAGGGAAGTGGAATGTACATCTTTTCATGCCGGGTACCCGGCTATCTGGCACAAGCTTGCACCGGGTACTTGGTTGCCGGGTACCCGGCAAAAGTAGAATCCGGTGCATCTCTAATTATTACTTTTGAGCCAATTTATTGTAGATGTGACAGTATTGTTAAGTTCATAATCAGATGGCTTTTCTTTTCCTGTTATTATAACTGATATATCGTCGGCATATAGAGTACAAAGTTGATCGATTGCCAATGGAAGGTCATTAATATATAAATTAAAAAGTAAAGGACCAAGAATTGTCCCTTGTGGCACACCTTTTGTAGTGGGTTGTAATTTAGAGCTAAATGTGACATGTTCATTAAATTCATTAATCCTAGTTATTTGAACGCATTGAGTTCTGTTACTTAAATAAGATTGTATCCATTGGAATGCAAGTCCTCTAATGCCATATTTTTCAATTTTATTTAGCAACAGTTAGTGGTCTACAAAATCGAATTCTTTACTCATATGATGAAAATGAGAATAACATTTGTCTATGTTTGGCAAATAAAAATTTTACATGTTTTAGTGCAGTTGTAGAAGCATATGAATGTATCTTGGGAAATCTTTATTAGGCATTATGTTTTAAAGTATGCACGAAACGGGAACTTAATAAATTAAACAAATGTGAGATTTGTTCTTGTAACTCTATGTAGTGATATATAGGTACATAATCACTGTACATGTTATGTTACACTCACCATTGACGGGGTCCAGCTTCCGATATACAGCGATTATTAACAATATTAACCATTTTCGACGATGAAAAGAATCCATAGTCACATTATAATATACAAGCATCGCAATTTATAATTCGAACACAACCAAACACTTGTTATTGACATAAAAATAGCACGGCCATTGAAGTGTTCTACGGGAAACAAATGACATAATTGATATACAAATGGCAACTGTTGTAAGTTGAAAATATCAGTACGAATAAAACACTTTCAGGAATACAAAATTTAAAAATCTGAAAATGAAATTCCCTCCGGTAAAAGCAGAATATACAAAAAGTACTCTGTAAAAATAATTTAACAACTTCCCGTCACTTCCCGTGAGCCCATAGACGCCATAGACTAGACGTGGGCGTTATTTCACGTCACTAGATACAGTAACTGGCTACGCGGCTTGTAACCGAATCACTAGTTTCGATCATGTTACAAGTAGTGATTTTTGTAAATGCGTGATTATGATTACTGTTAACCATGATTATTGCGGGAGTCTACTGTCGGTCGGTCGAGCGCAAAGCGCACATGTGGCATACAACAATAAACAAAACATCGTAACAGTATTATTGTACGTTTAATTTTCATACGTAAGTCTATAGACATAGACAATAAAATAGAGTAATCTCTGTTTGTAAATAATTTCAACGGTTTGCGATTCCTGGAAGCGAGTCACATTGAATTTAACTAAAATAATTTTTAAAACATATTTGACGGAGTCATGAACTCGTTTATTCATAAAATTAAAATAAAACTAAAAAATTTAAATGTTTATAATATTATAAAACTTAAAAACTGTGTGTAAATAACCAAACAAACAAACAAATTAATTGTACAGTGTAAATAAAAGTGCAGCAAAAACAAATGATTGTGAAAACGTTGAAAAAGTGTAAATAAACTGTAAATGTCAATAATCATTGTATATGCAATCAAATTGACTTGTAAATATGCCTGCATTAATAATTTTATGAAAATCTTAGTGTCATAGTAAACGCAAATCAATCATAAATACATTTAATGCAGTCAGTCCTAAACCTGAATAAAGTATGCATACTTTATTCAGGGAAGTTAATTTATTCATTTAACAGTATAAAGTTACTGTATAACAAACACAGATTGTGATTAAATTTATTTTCGTTTCGTGTGAAACTGTATAGTCGGTGGTGATATTTATGCAAACAATCACAGTAGCCGAATAAAAATAGCCAGTTACAAAAATCACTAGTTTTAAAACAGGTGACGCCGATCAAGTCAGTCACTGGTTTCGTTACGTTTTTTGACCATAGACCAAGTATATATATATATATATATATATATATATATATATGTGTGTATGTATTTATAGGCCTAGAACTTGCCTAGAATAAGTAAGGAAAGGAATCTACGTCACAGATAAAAATATCAAATATATTGCCATATTGTCCGTTCATCGCATGGAGTATGGAGTGTAGAAATAAGGAGTACCAACTCCCATAGAATAGTTGAATAAGTGACTATCTGTAAGCAGTAAATAACAGTTCAAAAACTCTCCACAACAGCGCTAGAGTAGCTACTGGAATGAAATTAACTTAGCAGTTGTCAACGGGTTAAGTGTGCTGCTAAACTGCTCAGTAGCTCTAAAATCTAAAATAATTTTATTTAGTAAATATAACCTCAAAAAAGTCCTCTATTCCACTAATATTTTTCGGTGCGTTCTTTAAAATTTACCCCGTAGCTATAGTATCGCCACCCTTATTTAACGGTTTTCTATGGACACTTTTTAATACACAGACTGTACTCCTTACTTCTACACTCCATAGCATGGAGGTTTGAGTCATCGCATGAAGGTTAGAGAACAGGAGAACGATCACTACGTAGTAAAGCATAGCCCACTTGTCCTTGAAAATTGTAGAATTTATAGCAGCGCTGACGTCGGTGAGTAGTGACTGCGTAGTTAGCTGTTTATGAGTACAAGTAGATGAAGTTAGTTGAATAATGTACAAATTTTCTCCGTGGCATTGGTAAAAAAAATTTTTAATTTTGAGGCTTGCCATATTAGGGCTTTTATTCATTTGTACAGTATGATATGGTGCACTGTCCATCACAATCACACAATTAGGTTGTAGGTTTGGCAAAACTTGTTTTTCCAGCCATTTCATAAATTTATAACTATTCATGTCGTCATGGTAGTTGGATGATTTTGTTTGTGATTTGAAGCCGTCTGTAGTTCCAGTGTGTGCAATTATCCATCGCTTACCCGTACATGAATCTCTCACCAATACACCTTCTTCAGAATCTGACTGCCAACATTTTTATACCCCATTTGCACAATGAATAAATGTTTCATCTAAGTATACAATAGTCCGCCCCTCTTCTAGGTATTTTTTTTTAATTTCATTCAAGTAATTAAAATACCAGGCAGCTATATCCGTTCGTTTCACTAACATTGTTCGTTTTGATAGACACTTTTTGTATTTACATCCGAGTCGTTTTAATATATTCCATAGTGTAGTACGCCCACTTTCAAAATTGATTTCATCTTGCAATTCGACAAGTAATTTGTTTAACGTAGCAATTTTTTGTACATCGTAAAATGACATAATTTTTTATCGTATTGCACCAGAATCAGAATTATCGATTTTGATCTTTGTATCGCGATTTGATCGGCTTTTTCCAGGTGTTGTTACCTTTGATGGACCAGTCGAATCAGAACTGGTCTCTCTTTCTTGTCTCAAAATTAAGGTTACAGTAGATTCGGATACATCTGCAATCATTAAACAAACGCAGTTTTATGTTCTTAGGTAGTTAATAACATTAGAATATTTTAGTAACGTAAGTAATGTTACTAAAATATATATACTTCTTTACATACAAATATTTTAAATTAATTTAGCGATTTATATAAACAACAGTTAATCTACATCTTTGAAACTGGTCACCCTAAAACAAAGCAATGATGGCGGCAACTTGGCCACAAACATGTTGCAATGGCAAAATCAGCTTGTTTTCAGCCTTTTTTTGTCACAAAAAGCGTAAACTTGAAGAATAGTTTGCCTTTCACTACTTTTAACTACTTTCGGCATTTTTAAAACTGAGAATAAATTATTAAAAAGAAAAAGAGCACACAGATAGCAATAGATAGACTGAGGAAACAGTGCTACCAATCACTCACGCGTCAAGTTGAGATGAACGGACAGTAGTTTAGTCTAGTCGTAGACAGACAAAACCTGTAGACAAATTGACGCCTTCTTTGGCATTCGCACACGAAAAAGATAGGTTTATGCATACGTCTTACATAGAAATGAGACAGAGCGGTGTGATTGTTTGTCTCTATCTCCATGCTGGTTTTTTTTGTTTAGCAAACTGCACTTTGCTAAACAACTTTGACAGTTCGTAGCGATCTAAGGAGTTTACAAGTTGGTTTGAGTGAGAGAAAAAGTGTTCTGTGAGCTTAAGTTTGGTGAATCCTGTTCAGTTCAGTTCTAAGAACAATTAAAAATTTTATCTAAATATGTTTAAAAGTCATAAAGATTATTGTATAACCTAAAACTACGTTATCGTCCTTTCTCACTCGAGGCCACGCAAGTCATTAGTCTATAGGTTTCTCTGTCTATGAGTCTAGTCCACTTGGAAGTTAGAGGACAGGTGAACTATGGAGTGTAAAGGAGTACAGACTTTGTATAAAAATGTCCATAGGAGAGCGCTAAATAAGGATGGCGCCACTGTAGCTACAGTCTAAATTTTAAAGAACTACTTATAATTTTTATTGCACAGACTTTCACCATAACTCTTTTTACAAAAATTATTTTATTGCTTTAAAAAATTTTATTTCAAAGTCACTCTCAACATATTTTACGACGATTTATCTTTCCTTCTAGATACTCGAGCGCTGTTGTTGAGAGTTTTTGAACTGTTATTTACTGTTTAGGGATGGACACATTTTCAACTATTCTCCTATGGAAGTTTGTTCTCCTTACCTCTTAACTCCATGAGGAAAGGAGGAGAGAGGTTTCCTCCAAGGAGGAAAGATCGCTGTAGAAAATACTGTCCAAGAAATATGGACAAATTATGTGAGGCGCTGCGATCGCTAAGTAGTCTCAATAAAAGCGGGCTATTGTGCGCTACTTTGAAATAATTATAATATCCATTCAAAGAAAAAAAAAAAAGAAAAAAACGAAAATATTTATTATTACTTGGGGTTTCTATATAGTTTTCTCATCTGGTTGGGTTCTATAAATATATAATTATAAATGAAAATGAAAAGATAAATGATGTATGAAAATACGTAAATATCAATAAAATAAAATAAATACAAAATATACATAAATAAATAAAAGCCCAACCAGATGGAAGCCCTCGGCAGGGGAGACTAAACGGCCGAGGGTTAGGGGGAAATGGAAAGAAACCGGCGGACGATGCGGGCTCTATCGAGGAGCACCACCTTATGCATTTGAGCCCGGAGCGATCCGTCACGGAGTCCCTGTCACCTCAGATGACCCGAGAGGCTAACTGGGATTAGCCCATTCGCAGAGACGACTACGGGAATAATTTCGGTCGGCGGAGCATCCAACATGTCGGACACCTCGTGAGCCAGGTTCAGATATTTTGTTTTCTTATCTGATTCGGCTTTCACTAGGTTCTCGTCATATTGAATGGTAATGTCGACCAAAAATATCCTTAACTGTGCCCGGTTTATCAGCACAATATCAGGCTTATTCGCAAGAATAGTCCTGTCTGTGATGATGGCCCGGTCCCAGTAGAGCCTGGCGCGATCATTTTCGGGCACGGCTTTCGGTAAGTATTTATAATAAGGCAGTTTCCGATTATTATTATTATTTATTAATAAATTAAATATAAATTGTGTTTTGTATAATTTTAATTACTATATTATAAATTATTAAAAATATAAATTATTAATTATTATTGATTTATTATTATTATTATTATTTAATTTATAATGTTTCACCATTTTTAATGTTTCTTTTTGTCAAAAATTATTTCGCAGATACAACTTACCGATGGCAGTGCGGCTATAAATTCTACAAACTTTCAGGGACAGGCCGGCTATGCTTTAGCACGTAGCGATCGTTCTTC